CCACGTCTGTAACCCTTCACAATTGTGCATATGTACAAGTATAATAACTTAGATCACAATTTGTCAACAAGATTTATGAATGAAAGAGATTCTGGGAGTGAAGCAGGTAAACATTAACTCACATATCCAAGCTGTTATGAATTTTGGCGAAGTTGGGAGCAATGCTAAACATTTTGCATTGCACTAACCGGCATTGCACGTTTCAGAAGATTTTTGTAGTCTGAACTTCTTGACCACTCATCAATCTCACGAGCACGTAGGACAGGCAGAGGATGTGAAAGTTGCCTTGTTTGAGCATTTCTGAAAATACAAGTGAATGAGAAAACGATAAGGAATCCAATTTTATGTGCTCCACTGAAGCTATTACTCACCTTATATACCATCCCACTGGGCTTGAGGAAGCTCTATCATAGGAGCGAGCTTGCTCCAAAAATGCGTCTACATTTAGTTGCTCAGCCATAGAAGGGCAACCACCAGCTAATTTCATCAAGACAGAGATGACCACCTCTTGTTGGTGCATCACAATTAAAACTAGATAAGGAAATAGGTCATCAAGATACTAATAAAAGATTATATTAGGTTGGATTTCTATTTTTCATACCTTGGGATCTTGTGCAACAAGAAGGGCTGCACGATCACAAGTTAGCTCTGCTGCCCGGAGCCAGCGGAATAACTGTTCCTCCAAACTTTGAGCAATAAGTCCACCAAGTCCTGTGAATAACCAAAGTATTAAAGACCCAATGGTGCTTATTATTAGCACTAAAGAACCGACTACTGACTCATGCAAATACTGGAGGCCTCAAAGCAAAATTTTTAATCTCCTGGAGACAAACAATCCTATCATGAAGAAAAACAGAGATTTGATGCAGCTTAAGTTAATTATCTACCATAGCAGAGGGTATGGAATTTTTATCTTAGCTAAGATGGAAAAGAAAGATCCTCTAAACATACATAAAAGTTCTTTTTGATAACCAAACTCCACAACTATATGGCTGCAATGCATCCATGAAATTCCATTATCAGCATTTCACTGGTAAAATCCAATGGCTTTTAAGCTAAGAATTGTCTAACTTAGATGATCTTATGAAAGACATGCACAAATCTTTTCTTTATGACTGAGTAACCAAGCAGCATCAAAATATTAAAAGGAACCAAAAACCTACCTGGTACACTGTATGCTCCAAGGGTGAGAATATTTGCAAAAGTAAGCCACACACCATGATCACATTTGAGATGTCCCAACTCATGAGCCAAAACAGCCTGTTCGAAAGATGAAATCCAGAAAATTAATGGCATTTCATCATATGTGTTACAGTCCAACCAAACAAAAGTCAACATTTTTTTTTCCCATCATCATGTGAATTAAGCACTATGATTTAAATTTAGGAAGTGTAATCAGAAAATGTATCTTTTTCATGTCATATTTGTCTGCAAGAGTGTTTGGAAAAGCCAAAAGAAAAAAAGATTTAGGAAAAAAGAGAGATTATAGATATCTTAAAGAACTACCAAAGCCAGATTAACCATGAAGTAACTGAGAATACTAAAAGGGAATAACTGAGCTGAAAATAAACGTTTATATACAACTAGAAGGACATTTGTAAGAAGCAAATACCTGCAACTCCTTTCGTGTCAGAAGTTCTACAAGGCTAGTATGGACAACAACAAATGGTTTTTTACCACTTATTGCCAACGTGTAAGCATTTGGGACAGGACTTTGGCGAACATAAAGATCAGGAGCCTCAATATTCAGTATGTCAGCAGCCTCAACCATTAAACCATGAAGCTCAAAAAGCTGATACAGAAGAAAATAATTGGTAAAAGAGCTACATCAGACAATTTACTAGCACAATCTGAAGAAACAGCTAAAATACATAGAAGCATGTTATGTGATCTTCAAGGAGATTTTAATAAATCTATTAGCACAATTAAAAGAAAAAAAAAGAGGCTATAATGCATAAAAACAAACTCTTCTGTGTATGAAAAACAACCTGGTCTTTGGAGACACGAACTGAAGTTCCTATATTCTCGAGAAGCATGATTTGCTCTGTCACAGATCCTGCAATAAAGTTTTCAAAAAGCTGCTTAATAATAACTTTGCAAAGCCATTCACATTATGCATGCAAAGAACAACGTCCAACCAAAACTCTATACGCATTCAGAACAGCATCTTAAGCAGCTTCAACCTGACCCCATGAGTCTATGAATATGATTCTTTAACTGAATTATTTTGTTCCAATTCTTTACAAGAATTGAGATTATTAAAAAAAAAAAAAAAAAGTGAGAGCATTTAGAAAAAAGTTTTCTGTTTTCCAACCATGAAGCAGCCAAGAACAACAAACCGTTACCTAATAAAGCCCTCCCTAGTTCATTCAAACCAGGAATTGCCCGTAATAACAGCGTATTCTGCAACAAAGAAAAGGAAAGCCAGAGAAATTCAGTACCCCTTAACCAGGAGGAAAATATATTACTGCGAAATTAAAAAGAAAAACAAAGCAAAAGTCATCAAAAACAAAATTTACGGAAAGGACATGAAGTTTCGACCTGAAAAATTGAATTTAAACTTTTCAAACAGTAAAATTACAGTGAATTAGACCTGCTTATCGAGCGGATGCCTGAAATCATCGGCATCGAGGTTCCGAAACACAAGAGGAGGAGAAGCTCTGCTAGCAACAGAAACCCTAACTACTCTACCTCTCTTCCTGACCGCGCCTAATCCGATACAAAACGAACTAAACTTGGATTCACCACGACCACGAAGAGATTTTCCACCAATACCGATCGATAAAGAAGGCTTCTGAGGGAAGCGGAGGGAGGAGAGAGGCACAACGGCCATCGGATTTAACGCCGGAGAAGGAGCTTCGGAGGCTGGAGAGACTACGACGACGAAGGATAATTGACACTGTAATCTGTATTTGAAGCGTTAATCGATTTTGTTTTTCTCCAAAGATATTTCGTTGGCTAATACGTGTCCACAGCCGTAATCATTTCCTGGTGACCGTTTCGCGCCACTTCTCTTTCTGCTCGTTGACTTCCGCCGGCGATGGTATTTATGTAATTCCATCTAAAATTGTGGACAAATTTGTCAAAGTACTCTACTTTTAATGTTTTAGATTTTCCCCTAGAGTCGCTCTCCAATATTCTTCTTCCTTCTCGCTGCTTCGCTTGCGTGGTTTTCAATGTAAATCGAAGCTCGGAACCATTGAAGCTTTAAAGTTTTAACCTTTTTTTTATCTATTTCGGGAATAACTGTGTTTCCCTTTTCTTTTGAGCAGGAAGCATTCCGTGAATCGACCTCCGACTCCAGATGCCGGAGAAGATCAAGAAAAAGAGCCGACCTTTCGAGAAATTATTAACATCAAGGTCTCTTTTTGGCTATTCTTATCAATTCAATCAGATACCCAGATCTTTGGTCCTCTGAATTGAATTTTTTCTTTTGGGTTCAGAAAAATTAATCATGGGTATTTAAAAAAAAAAAATTCCTATATTTTGATTTATCCATTATTTGATTGATTTTTACAGTTAATTGAGAGTGGGGAAAAAGAGAGGTTAATGGAGCTTTTGAGGGAAAGGCTTATAGAATGTGGGTGGAAGGATGAAATGAAAGCTCATTGCAGGTTTTAGCTTCTCTACTGCACTGTTAATAATATCTAGAAATTACTTTCTTTTAGTCATATTATTGAATTTCATTGTCCATTGATTAATTTTTGTTGTTGTTCAGTATATCAATTTGGTGTGAATGAACTTTGGCTTCTACATTAGAGAGGATGCTTAAAGACTAAGAATAGACTTTTGAGATTGGAAATTAGCTTACTTGCCATCCATTTAGTTAGGTTTAGATATAAGAAAAAACAAAGACTGTATGACTTAGCTGTTCTACTCCGAAATAACTATGTATGGGTTGGGAAAAGAAACGAATTGAAGTGATAGAACAGATATGACACTTAAAGAATTTCAATGTTGGTTGTGCTACATACAAGTACGAGATACTTCAGTAATGAATTTTCTGATGCGACTCATATTGAATGTTTCTACTAAATGGGTAGAACTTTATTTTATATAGGCAATTGACTGTTTGGAGTCTAGACATTATCCTACTTAATTGTTAGTTTGCTTTAGTTGTTTCAGTTTTATTGATTGTAAACTTCATGTGTTCATGATTGAATTGCCCTGCTTCCTAGAAACCCTAAATAAACATGGAAAACAAGCGAAGGGAAACAAAATGTTTTTGCTCAGTGACATGGACATGAATTTACACAAAAGTGTGCATATTTCAGTATCATAATTGTTTGGTTGGTTTAACTCGTGTTTGAAATCCCTTCTGATCTTGACATAATGTAGGACATTGATAAAGAAGAAAGGAAGAAATAATGTCACTTTGGATGAGCTTGTGCATTTTATTACGCCCAAGGGCCGAGGTAATGGTTTTTCTTCTTTTTTTTGGTGAAATTGTTTGCTTCATGTGATTTGATTTAAATAGACCATAGAAGGAAGAAATTTTCCATTTTGGATACACTTTCTCATTTAATTGCCCAACCTTTGCAAGTCGTTTGTTGCTAATAATTTTCATCTGGTTATGAATTCTGTGGAAGTTGTGGTTTATTAATATGTTCTCCTTTCACATTGTTTTAACACTGCATTGTACTTTTCCTGTTGCAGCCTCCATTCCTGATTCCATAAAGGCTGAGCTGTTGCAAAGAATTCGTTCTTTTCTGGTCTCTGCTGCTCAGTGACACACCGGCTTGTTTTCATTTATATGAAGTTGTAGAACGTTTAAACAGCTGCTAGGGAGTCAAGTTTAAGGTTTGAAAGGTGTATAGACAGATATAATTTACTTGTAATAATAGCATATAAATTATAATCAAACCAATGTAATGGATGTTTGTGGCTGCAAGCTGAGAACAGTTTCATCATTTCATTTCTGTTGCATAGAGAATCAGGAGAATTAGATTGGTGCTTAGACTCATAATTTCAGAGGTGCTGTCTATTCTGGTCTCTGTTTGGTGTCCCCTTGTTACCTTTTGCTGCATTGTTTAATATGAAACCTTAGGGTTGGTGTACCGTGCCTGTGCATTAACTATCAAATGAATTTTTTCAATTCAAATCAAAGCTTTTCATCTTTTCTAGATCTATGAGTATCATGTTCATCACCACTTATCTGGTGCATGCTTGTTACTTTGCAGGAAACAGAATAACATAATTTACATGTTTCTCTTTAGAGGACTGCTAAATGCAGTTGCCTTTTTCTGCACTCTCTTAACACTCTCTCGTGTAAAATAGCCACGTAAGTTTTTTAGACTGGGAACTTTGAATTGCAAGCTAAAGATTACTATGTGGCCATTTTATATGTGAGAGTGTTGGAGAGTGCAGGAGAAAGGTGACTGCACGTAGCAGTCCTCTTCTCTTTATTTTTTGAATGTGTATAATATTCTCAAATTAGTAATATGGAATTTGTCAATAGAATTACTCTTTAGAACTTTGGATTAATTACCAGTGTATACAAAAAGAAATTCGCTATGTTCTTATTCGGCATCGAGCAGCTATGTTTAGCTTGCTCGGACAAACTATTCTTATTATCTCTCCACTGTTCTGTTAATATTTCTTCTCTGTTCTTCATCTTCCCCTGTTTCTTCGCCTACTCGAGTTTCTCTAGCACTTCGGAAGGTCACTTGGTGGCGGAAGGAGAGATTCATTAGGGCCTTTGCCATTGTCGACAACAAATGCCATCTTCAGTCCCCATGTCGTGTGTACTTCCAGATGACAATGCATGAACCAAACCCCTGAAATCAAGAAGAAAACAGAGCATCCCAGAATTGAAATTATGTATAAGATTCTTTGGATAATTGGATTAAGTAAAGATGCAATTCTTTTTATGAATCACATTGAAATCAGTGAGCTTCTACCTGGATTATCTGCTCTGAATCTTATAGCAGTCCATCCCCCGGCTGGAACTCCGATGGTATTCCTCTCAACAGGATCCACAAGGTTGAATTTTTCCGGGTCCTTTGTGGGGTTGAAATTCCCTAGTCCCCTCCCGACCTCGAAGAAATTGAATCCGTGCAAATGGAGTGGGTGGTTCTCCGGTGCAATCATTCCGGTGTCTTGCAAGACTAGCTGCACGGTAGAATTATAAGCAAGTCTGTACAGTCTGGTTCCGTTATTGGTATTAAAGTTCGCTGGCTGTGTTCCGGTGTAATTGTAAGGGATAGGAGGATTTCCGGGGAAATCGTCTGTGAAAACTCCCCTTATGTTGGAGAAATGTGCCTGGAGGAGAGACATCCTTGGCATATCAAAAGTGACATTGTTGATAGCTGCCACTACGTGGCTGCCATTGACGCATGTGGAACAAGGATTAACCCCGAGACTGATGGTGAACAGAAGGGAATGGTCGATTTCCAATGGAACCAGAGCAGGGTACTCCTTCGAATTCAAGCTCCTAAGGGCGCTGGTAAAATTCGTTGCCACCGGAGTGGCGTTTTTCGGAGGTGGGATGGCGAGAGCGGCGGCAGTATTTGATAGGGTACCAGAGTAGTGCAACGTAGCGGTGGCAGTCACGTTGTCGACGAGAATCGGCGCGTCCATAAAAGGCGAGGCCACAACCATGTACTGTCCGGTGAGGCGATCCGCTTCCACGAGTACGTTTGTGGTTTGCCCTGGAGTTATAACGATGGTCTCTGTTTTGAATGGTTTGACATAGGTGGCGTCCACCTCTACCACCGTCAGCTGGTGATCGGCTATCTTAAAGAAGAGCTCTTCATTAAGTGCAGCATTGATAAGCCTCAACATGTACCTCTTTCCTGCTTGAACCTGCAATGTATACCCTCCTGAAAGAGAAAATAAACCAAATGACAAATTTGGTAGTTTTAAGTTGGAATTCATGATTCAAGAAGTTTTTTTAGGTTCGTTTTCTGTTACTCTGTGAAGGGCAGCTCGGGGTAGGGCCAGGGCGGCCGTTGATGGTGTGAGCGTCGGAAACATTTGGAGCCGACCCAGATTTCAAAGCTTCATTAATTACAGCTGCAACGTCCGATTTCCACCATTCACCCAAAATCACCACTGCTTCTTTGTGGGGTTTGGGGAAAGGGTACGGAACGCCTCGCTTGGGCAAGATAACCAATGCGCCGTAGACGGTGGCTCTGAGCCAGACGATGTGTGCGTGCCACCAGAGCGTGCCCCTTTGTCCGGTGATGGTGAAATTGTACACGTAGCTCTGCCCCGGCTGAATCGGGCACTGTGTTATGTACGCCGGACCGTCGGCCCATCCGTTCCGCAGCTGCCGGATCCCATGCCAGTGGATGGTGACATTGTCCTTGACATGGTTTACGACTTTGATGAGCACTGTGTCATCTTCTCTGGCAACCAAAGTGGGTCCCGGAAACTTTCCGTTCACGGTGACGATTGGCTTGGTTGAGCATAGCCTTGTGGCGTCCTTAGTCACGATCTGCAATTACCACAGCCACCAGATGCGTCGCTAAATGTGAGTTAACTAACATTAACTAACCACCCTTTCTTTTGTTAAAAATTCCATTTGATCTCTTTATTTTGATAAAAAGTTTTTTTTAGTACCTCTATTAAGTTTTTATCTCGTGGCATGTTATTTCTACAGAAATTTCAAGATAGATTGGTTAAAAGAGGACTTTTTTT